CATCGAGAAGAAGTCGTTGTCGAGGGTAAGGTGGAGGAAGAGAGAGAGAAAAGAGAAAGAGAGAAAGACAGAGTTTGTTCAGTTTTACATGTTTGCACCGTTATAACATATATATAGGTGGGTACTTTAGTCATTTCACTTAACCATGTCCTTATAGACATAATAAATTAGCGCTTGAACATTTAAGCAAAAAAAAATTTAAATTAAATATATCGCCCAAACGCCCTAGAATTTATTAATTTTAATAAGGAAAAATTACTCATAAATCTTATTTGGGGAAATGTTAGTCCATTTAGTCCTACATGGTTTTTTATAAACCAAATAGTCCTTTTTATTTGTAGTATGTGTTATTGATTTGATTTAGTAATATTTGAGTTTACTTGTTTGCCGATGGGCTCTAAATTTGCCTAATGAAGGAGCGACGAACGTGGTGGAGGAGGCACAGACGTGACCAAATCTACGCATCGAGAAGAAGTCGTTGTCGAGGGTAAGGTGGAGGAAGAGAGAGAGAAGAGAGAAAGAGAGAAAGACAGAGTTTGTTCAGTTTTACATGTTTGCACCGTTATAACATATATATAGGTGGGTACTTTAGTCATTTCACTTAACCATGTCCTTATAGACATAATAAATTAGCGCTTGAACATTTAAGCAAAAAAAAATTTAAATTAAATATATCGCCCAAACGCCCTAGAATTTATTAATTTTAATAAGGAAAAATTACTCACAAATCTTATTTGGGGAAATGTTAGTCCATTTAGTCCTACATGGTTTTTTATAAACCAAATAGTCCTTTTTATTTGTAGTATGTGTTATTGATTTGATTTAGTAATATTTGAGTTTACTTGTTTGCCCCTTATTGTGATTTTTTTTTATCAGAGGAAAACAAACAGGACTCACAACCAAAACAACACCAACTAGGCCAAGCTTAATAAAGCAGTAAGAGCCAAAGATGGATAAAAAATCCAATCTAGGGGGAGAGCATTCCTGAGACAAGCTTGGGCCCCTCATTGTGATTATGTTTATGATTTTTTTTTGGGATTGAGTGTATGTGGATAAGGTATGGTTTAAAATTTCCATTTCTTTTAGAGATTTCGTAGAGTGATTATGGAGATTATTGATGTTACTTGGTGTTACATTATTGATGTTAAATCATTAGCGTTTTCTAGGGGAGGTGTGTGGGTTGTAACATTCACATTTACCTACATAACATCAACCCAGAGCCACATTGCCGTACCATTAAGCCTCCTACTAACAGCCTATAACATTAGCACCAAACACCAACTACATAACATAATATCAACACAGTTCGACAATCCTCAACAATTAACAGCCACTACCCCTACTATCACCAAATCCCACCAATACTTTCAGGTATATATCCTTCCACTAACATTACAAAATGCACACCCAATCATACAAACATTAGCTATAATACCATGTGCCTATTACATTATAACATGCACAACATCACATTTACAATCACTTGTAACCCCCAAACCTGTGAAAATATTACAACATTAACCAACAAAACCATGTGTTTGTCACATTATAAGCATACACAACATCACATTTGCAATCAATGGTAAATCCCAAACCCGCAATGTGAACAAGATCACCTAAAACCCGACATGATGCACCAATTAAACAAAAATCCACTTCGAGCATCAATCTTGATGTTGTATTGTCCCACAAACAACCAAACTAACATCGAAGACACCCATACTTGTTGCCATCGCACTAACAAACAATCAACGATGTCGTTGACGAATCGTTGACGTTACATCCTCAATGTTAATCGCACTCCAAGATGTCCTAGTGCCCATGCCGCTTTGCCTTTGTAAATTTGATAAAAGGGATTTCCATGATTTTCTAGGATTTTTTGGGGGTTTAGTAATGTTATTTAGGGAATAATGAATTCTGGGTATAACATTTTCAGATCTAGCATTCAACTCACACAAACTGAGGATCAACATTGCAACATCGTCAAGAAAACGTTGACGTTCCCATTTTTGAACTTTTGTTTGGTTCGCAATGGAGGGAAAAGGAAAAAAATGCTATAGTATATTTTTGAACTTTTTACGCTGTGTTTGGTTGGGGGATTTGGAGAGGAATTTGGAAAGGAAAAGGGAAAAGGTGTGTGAAACTATGTAAAATGTATGTATATTTTTTTCACATTTCACTTACTTTTTCCATTTCCCTTTCTAAATCTCTCCTCAAATCTCTCAACCAAACACAACATTAGTAACTATAACATCACCTAAATACCCAATATACCCCTCCAAACATCCAACTCATGTGTTACATTCGTGGGCTTACGTATAATTAATTTTGACATAGGACCAATCAATCTATAAAATAAATTACAGTACTAAATGATTTAAACTATCTGAACTTAAAATTTATTGGTATTTTTCCCTATTAATAATTAAAATTATAAATTTTATTTCCTCCCATCATCCCTAGATAATTTCTCGAATATTATTTACATAGAGTTGGGTAAAATTGTGAGCGTGCTCCTAGCCTACTGATTCCATAATTTGTACAGAATATACAGAAGCTCGCTCACACGAAGAAGGTTAGAATTTAAAGCCGGGGCATTTCCCTAAATAAGCCAAAACAGTAAATCAATTCCCAAACTAAGCCTAGTTTTGAAAGAATTCTCAAAATAGGCTAAATCGTGGTTCACAACTACGATTTCAACATATATGCACCTGTCTCGCGTGGAATTTGGGAAGTCTTAAAATCGTGGTTACAAAACGCGTTTTTGATTAAGAAATCGCGGTTACAAAAGGCGCTTTTAATTAATTTTTTTTCTTTCTGAACTCGCTGTTCTAAACCACGTTTTTATCGAAAAAAAATTTTCTTCTGAACTCGCTATTCTAAACCACGCTTTAAAGAAAAAATTTTTTTCAAAAAACATGATTTCTAACCGCGTTTTTAAACAAAACTGTGTTGTAAAGAAAGCGTGGTTAGAAACCACGAATGCGGGAGAGTTATAAAGATGCTGATTAGGCAAAATTTTTGGAAATCTTCTTTGACAAGTACTTCCCGCAGTGTGTCCGGGATAGGAAAGTGGCAGAATTTATGGAACTCAAGCAAGACAGAATGACTGTAGCTGAGTATGAGGCCAAATTCACTGAGTTGGCCAGGTTTGCACCACATGTAATTGACACCGATTATAAGAAGGCAAGACATTTTGAAGGTGGACTCCGAAGTGATATCCTAGAGAGAGTGAATGTCCTGAAGTTGGAGATCTACATTGGGGTGTTTGACAGGGCCATCATATCAGAGAATAACATAGCTAGTCAAGCTAAGCCAACGACAGAATGGAAGGGTAACAAAAGGCAAGGTTTCTTCTCAAAGAAGAATTTTCGAAAAAGCAAAACACGGGCTCCTCAAATACTTCAAATTCTTCCCAAGACACATCTCCCATGTGCAACATTTGCAACAAAAGGCACCGTGGGGTTTGTTACCGTGTGTCAGGGGCCTGTTTCAAGTGTGGTAAACAAGGGCACATGGCCCGAGATTGTAAGCAGAACAGTGGGAGAATAACTACTAGTTCCACTGCTTCGATCCCAAAACCAGGAAATACTTTGAAATTTTTTTTTCAAATAATTTTTTTTTCAATTATTTGAAATATATTTTTTTCCAATTAAATTATTTGAAAAAAATTATTATTTGAAAATTAGGCCAAATTTTAATTGAAAAAAATATATATATTTGAAAAAAAAATTAATTAAAAAAATAATTGAAAAAAAAATTATTTGAAAAAAAAATATTTGAACAAAAATAATATTTGAAAAAATATATATTTCAAATAATTTATTTTCAAATAATAATTTTTTTTTCAAATAATGTAATTGAAAAAAAAATATTTCAAATAATTGAAAAAAAATTATTTGAAATATAATTTTTTCCAAATATTATTATTTTTTTCAATTCAATTGTTTTCCAATTAAATTTTTTTCAATTATTTTTGTAAACATAAACTAAAAACGTAAACGTTATCAAACGTTACTTTACTGTTTAGGGATAAAATTTATTTTTTTTTATTTTAATATTTAAGGTTTAGGTTTAGAACAGCGAGTTCAGAAGAATTTTTTTTTTTTGATAAAAGCGTGGTTACAAATCATGTTTTTTGAAATTTTTTTTTTTGATAAAAGTGTGGTTTAGAACAGCGAGTTCAGAAGAATTTTTTTTTTTTGATAAAAGCGTGGTTACAAATCATGTTTTTTGAAATTTTTTTTTTTGATAAAAGTGTGGTTTAGAACAGCGAGTTCAGAAGAATTTTTTTTTTTTGATAAAAGCGTGGTTACAAATCATGTTTTTTGAAATTTTTTTTTTTGATAAAAGTGTGGTTTAGAACAGCGAGTTCAGAAGAATTTTTTTTTTTTGATAAAAGCGTGGTTTAGAACAGCGAGTTCAGAAGGAAAAAAAATTAATTAAAAACGCCTTTTGTAACTGCGATTTCTTAATTAAAAGCGCGTTTTATAACCACGATTTTAAGACTTTCCAAATTCCACGCCAGACAGGCGCATATATGTTGAAACAACAATGATAGAGACCACTAATTTTGAACCTCTAAAAAGACTATTAATGACATGACACTTAATAAAAAAAGAAAAAAAAATACAACACCAACGCCAAAACATCAAATCATTCCTGGCGGGGCCTACTGCCACATCATTAGTGATAGCACTAATTAGTGCTCTCACTCATTTTCCATGTTGAAATCGTGGTTGTGAACCATGATTTAACCTATTTTGAGAATTCACTCATTTTTCATGTTGAAATCGTGGTTGTGAACCACGATTTAACCTATTTTCAGAATTCTTTTAAAATTAGACTTAGTTGGGGAATTGATTTAACTTATTTAGAGAAATGCCCCTCTAACCTATTTTTAGAATTCTTTCAAAATTAGACTTAGTTGGGAAATTGATTTGACTTATTTAGGGAAATGCCCCTTTAAAGCCGCCTCTCTCTCTCTCTCTCATACAATCAGTGAGTCAATCTGCTGTGTGTCAATCTGCTGTGTTGTTTAGGTAACTCTGCAACTCAAACTCATAGCAGCCAATGGCGTTTTCTTCTTCGATAGCTCCTTCGTTGCGTGGCCTCTCGACCAATGCATCCTCACGCGACTCCTATGCAACCAATAAGATCTACCCATCATCTCTCTCTCCCCCCCAATGCTCTCCCATCTCCAAGTGAAGTTTTTTCCTCTTTTCCTTCTTTTTTTTCGCTTCCCTAATTTGCTTCTTGTTTGGCTTTCGAGAAAAATGGAGGAAAATTGGAAGAAACTAGATATCTTTTCACGTGATTATTGTTTTCTTGTGATTACTGTGCCAATTTCACTTGATTGGAGTCTGTTTTTATCTGTTTTATGTGATTCCAACAGTGGAAAAAATTGATATTAAACCAAAGGGAACTAACTCACTCTCTTACGCTTCTATAATTTGCTGCTTGTGAATCTATGAATCTAATATTTTTGTTCCTTCTCCTTTCCATGTAAAGAGAATCTGTGTACGTATCGTGTTCAATAACAACAAAATAGGTTTAGAATGAAACTAGGAATGCTAGTTGATTCTGCCATGGCTATGCAATCTATGCTATCACGTTCTCTTGATATATAAATTAAACAATACAATTTACCATATGCTACCTAAATATCAGTTGATTAGAAGAAAATTGTTATATGTAAGGTTGATATGCACTATTGAATGAGTTAGCCTTTGTGAGGCATTGGCCAACATGTATGTTCTTCCTTTTTTTTCCTTTTAGGAAGTAGGAAGGGGTCCATTTAAGGCCAAATTTACTTGCCAAACTCTCAATGTCCTGCATGTCATCAACAGGGATCAAAATGCAACAAGAATTTTAAATTTTAAATCTAAATCACAATAAATCCATTATATTAATAACCCGTGTCTACTGGATATGACAAGGGTAAGGGTGTGGGATATTTGTCTGACACATGTACCCAATTTAATCTTCAAACTTTTTGCAATGTTTGAAGAATAAGAAACACGTAGTCTCTAACATAGATGAGAGATAGAAGTTCTAGATTCTCTGTAAATTCTATTTAATTTCAAGTACATTTCTACATAATTTGTCAAAGAGTATTATGTAATATGTAACATATATAACTGTCCATAAAGAGTCCTTGTACTTATATCCTATGTTGGATACATATCCCAATATCTTAACACTTAAGTTAATGAAGGTTTGACGCTTGGACACACACCTGTACCCGATAATTCTATCCAAGTCCATGTAGCACATAGGTCACAACTTTACAATACCTAAAACACCATTCCTAACAACCATAACCACCAACATGTAGCTCATAAATATGGTTTAAAAAGAGTACCCTATTATTTATGTTCTACAATAAGGTAGGTATTGTATGTAGCTGGTAGGTTGGGGTGATCTTTTGCACTTAACCATGTCAAGAAGTATGGCATTTTTTTTCTTCTTTTTTCTTTCAGATTACTAGTATGGAAATGTATTGTAACATGTTTTTTTGGATAGTTTCATATAACTATTGTTTTGCTTGTTTCTTTGTATATAACATAATTCACAAATTTGTCAAAAGAAAAAAAAAATCATTATCATTCTGTGGTGGGCTGCGTTGTGATAATGTTTGAATGTTACATCCTGACCTCAATATACCATCAGTGTTTGATTCTATGTTTGGGTGGGTGTGTACCCTTATTTATTTGCATACATATTCCTAGAATCTGTTTTACATATCAATTTTTTTTTCCAATATTTCTTCAAGGGACTTCTTTCCTGCCTTTTTTTTTTTCCTTAAATAAATTTGTAATGCTATGCTGTAAATTGCAATCCAGAGTCATGTGAATCTCCAGTCAAGGTTTTCTGTCATAGATTTAACTCACATGCACTTTTTCTGTTGATTGAAATTGCTGATGTAGGCTTTTGTTTCTTGTTTCAGAATGGATTTTATTTGTCAATGGAGTCAAAGGAAGTTGTCAACCTTTCCTATTTGTGCTTCACTTGCAGGTTCATTATATGCCATTACTTTCAAATTATGTTTTGAAAATTGAACTCGTGTTATGATGTTATGAAGTTTTACTTTGCAATAGGTCTAATATATACCTTCCGTCACATTTATTGGCAGATGCTATGCAACAAACTTCTTCTGAAAAAGTTGAGTTTCCCAAAGGCGACACTTGGTCTATTCATAAATTTGGTGGTACCTGTGTGGGAAGCTCCGAAAGAATTCGGAATGTTGCGCACATAATTATCAATGATGATTCAGAGAGAAAGTTAGTTGTTGTGTCTGCAATGTCAAAGGTGACCAATATGATGTATGATCTTGTCTGCAAGGCGCAATCACGGGATGATTCTTACATAGCTGCATTGGATGCTGTTCTAGAAAGGCACAAGTTAACAGCCCTGGATCTACTTGAGGGGGATGACCTTGCTAGTTTCTTATTGCAGTTGCATGATGACATCAATAACCTTAAAGCAATGCTTCGTGCAATATATATAGGTATCAGAACAAATTTTTTCTTGTTGTCTTTTGCCCAATATGTAATTAGAAAGATCTGTTATGTCACCTGATAGGTTCAAACTCTTGCTGTGATACCCCCACTTAGCAGGCAAGTGCCCGAATGATGGCCAAACTTGAGGTCGCTGTTAAATCACATGCTTGTCCCTTGTATGTCATGCAACCCCAATTCTCACATATACATGATATTATCTTAGTCCTACCTGCCTTCCCAAATTGATTTTCCTTTTTTTTTTTTTTGCATTTTTTTTCCTTTTCTTTTCCCTCAATCAAAAAGCAATTGGCACATGGATGATGGGGATTTGAATCCATCAGTTGAATGACTAATGTGTTGCACTGCCATTGTGCAATGTCATGGGTGAAGTATATTTCTATGAGAGTTACAAATTGTGCAGCTTGACATTTATACTAGTGTTTGAAGGTGATTATAATGATTGCAACATTACTTGGTTTGCTATCACTAAGCAATGTTCTTTAATTTATCTGTAATATGAGCTATTTTTAGTTGACTGCTGTTGAATTTATTTCATGATGTTTTTAAGGCTCCATTTGTTTTGATGTAGAATAATTTACTCTAAAAATAATTTACATTCTTCTATTTTTAAGTGTTTGGCTGCATCTCTAAAAACATATATTTGGAACATTATTTTTTGCACTTCATCATTTGTTCCACCCTCCCACCCACTTTATCTACATCTTGTTCAATTCAGACCATTTTTCCGTGGGCCCATGACCACGCTATCTCTCCCCGTTTCCCCCCCCCTCCCGGCCCTCTCTCCACCCCCACCCACACAGATTTTAGAGTACAGCCAAAGCTTTCAATTTGGAAGTCGGAAAGTAACTTACTGGTTCGGAATCTGTAAGTTACATTTCAGCCGCTTGATGCAAATAGTTTATAGAAAAAAAAATGTTTTCCCAACTTATTATGCAAACAAACATGGAAAATGAGGAAAATATGTTTCACAAAAATATTTTACGGCAAAACAAATGGAGCCTAAGAGTCTTGTGATATTTTGCAAACTATTACATTGATGGGTGAATGTGTCACCCGCATTGGGTAATTCTATTTACATACCATAGAAAATCTCAGTACACACCATTTCAGTGGTTCAAATATCAACTTTCGAACAAAAGTCAAATGTTTGGGCATAAACTTTTAAACGAAAACTAGTTGTTTGGACATAAATTGTTGAATGAAATGTATATTTGAACAATTTATTTTTGTTCATAAGTTTATATTTGAACATTTTTCTTTTGTTTGGAAGTTTTTATCTGAACGACACAAATGATGTGTATCAAGATTTTCTATGGTGTGCGAATAAAATTTTCCATAATTTTTGCTTCCTGCTATTACCTTTGGTTCTCTGTGCCCAAAAGACTTTTTTTACATATTATATTGATTTACATGCTTAATGTACTGCAGGACATGCAACAGAATCGTTTACAGATTTTGTTGTAGGACATGGAGAGTTATGGTCTGCTCAGATGTTGGCATCTCTTGTCAGAAAAGTGGTGCTGTGCTTATTTGCACTTTATTTTGAAAGAATATCTAGAAGTTGTGATTTTGAAATTTTCTGAATTAGTTTTTTCTTTTTATTTGATTTTTCTCTGCTGCAGAGTGGGATGGATTGTAATTGGATGGACACGAGGGAGGTCCTTATTGTAAATCCTAGTGGTTCTAATCAAGTTGATCCAGATTACTTGGAATCTGAAAAAAGACTTGAGAAATGGTTTTTGCAAAATCCATCTAAGACTGTTATTGCAACTGGTTTCATAGCTAGTACACCCCAAAATATTCCTACAACTTTGAAAAGAGATGGAAGTGACTTCTCTGCAGCTATAATGGGGGCTTTGTTCAGGGCACGCCAAGTCACAATCTGGACAGATGTTGATGGTGTTTACAGTGCTGATCCCAGAAAAGGTTTGTGCAGTTTGTGCATTTGAATCACCACTTATGAAAAATCTCTGGAAGATTGTTGCTTGTATAATTAATCATTTATTCTGATGATGGAAGTAAATTTCTGGACTGGTACTTCTACTAACAATGTTAATTTTGTGTTTGATTATGGACTTGGGTACGAGTATTAGGTGCGGGTTTGTATCCAAGTGTCAGACCTTCATAAACTTAGATATTAGGATCTTGCGATTCATATTCAAAGATATGGGTATGGGGACGCGTCATATATACATATATATTAAAAAATATATAATATTCTCGGATGAGATGTTGTAAATTATGTAGAAGTATACCAGAAATTAAATAGGATTCAAGAAAAATGTGAAATTTCTATCTATAGTTAATGTGAGAGGCTAAAAATATTGCTTTACTAACAAATGTGAGTTTCTTCTTCTTTATATATTGTAACAAATTAAAGGATCCGAGTGACTAAATTGGGTACGGGTGTCGGACACATATCCCACGCCCTTACCCTTGTCATATCTGATAGACAGAGGTATTTTGGGCGAAATAGAAGAGTCCATGTAACACACTGATTGGAATGACTAATGAACATTTCTTTTTGCAGTTAGTGAGGCTGTGGTATTGAAGACATTGTCTTATCAAGAGGCCTGGGAAATGGTGAACTTTAATCTCATTTTATACCTGTTAAAGTTGCTGACACTTGCTATTTAGCGTTCTTAACAAGAAAAATTTACATGCTTGTGCAGTCATATTTTGGGGCAAATGTTTTACATCCCCGAACCATCATTCCAGTGATGCAATATGACATTCCAATCATTATTAGAAATATCTTCAATCTTTCAGCACCTGGAACGATGATCTGCCAGCCTTCCGTTAATGAGTTCGAAGATGGGCAGAGGCTGGAATCTTATGTCAAAGGGTTTGCAACTATAGACAATTTGGCCCTTGTAAATGTTGAGGGGTGAGCTTGTATTGCAATGATATTTCTGTTCATCCTATTTGTAGTTGTATGCATTCTCTTTAATTTCCTTTTCCCATTTAAGCTGCACCTTGCACATTCTTTTTGCAGAACTGGAATGGTTGGTGTTCCTGGTACAGCTAGTGCCATTTTTGGTGCAGTCAAAGATGTAGGAGCCAACGTTATCATGATATCCCAGGTATCTTCATCTTCTTATATCTGTTAAATATTTTTCCATATTGTAAAATTCATGTAGTTAGTGATTGGGTCTAATGCAGGCTAGCAGTGAGCATTCTATCTGCTTTGCTGTTCCTGAGAAAGAAGTAAAAGCTGTTGCTGAGGTTTTACAGTCTAGATTTCGTCAAGCTCTGGATGCTGAGCGTCTTTCTCAGGTGGTTTGATAGAATTCTAGAAGCTGATGTTATTTATCAATACTTTGTGAACGCTTTTTGGTTCCCTGGCTTTTCTATAGAGTTGTTTTCCAAACTAGTAATATGTAGTATAAGGGTTATCCTTTCTCTATATTGCACAAGATTTTAAAGGATTGTGATTGACAGTATAGTCGTCAAGGTGGACAATATTAGACAGACACACCGTTGTAGCTTTTGTGTTAGTTCGCTTCTTCGGTGACTGAAGAAGTGATTGCCTAGGATAGTCCTTCCTCCCGTCCCTCGAAGGCAAAAAAGAAGGAAAAAAGGAGGGTTTTGGTGATGGCTGCAGACATGAAGATTCCGGATTTTAGTAGAGCATTTGATTCAGTGTATAAATCATTCATACGCCTACCCCAAGTAATTGGGTCTAATGCTTAGTTGTGACAGTTAACAAAGGAATCTTTTCAGTAATCATTTCAATGCAGCAGAAATGATGTGATTGAGGACACTGTCACCTATATATGTTAGCGTGATTAAGGTGGACACTGGAATTATGAGTGAAGTATTAGGGGTTCAGAATGAAGAAAGCATTATGAATTGGTAAAACTAATTAAAGAAAAGGAGGAAGAAGAGAATGAGACATATCTTCTTACTAGAAGAAGAGAACTGTCACAATTCTTGATCTAGTTTTTTGAATCTCAAAATATGGGATGTATGGTGGTTTCCCACCATGATCTAATACTGAGGGTGGTTATGAAAACCACCTTCTATTCATTTCTTCTTCTAAATTAGAAGTTACGGTGGTAGCTAATAATCACAAGTAGCTACCTGAGAAGAACATGAATCCTAATATGAATATGCGAATAAAGGCTAGGGCGTTCCCCGTAAGCAACGACTTGTGCCTGCCTTTGGGTGTTCCAAAAAATGGCTAAGGGGCGCTACATCATCTCTCGAGTGCAGTGAAAAATAGGCAAGGTCCCATGCTCTTTCCTAGACAAGTGTGGGTAAAGAAGTTAACTCAGGATTGTAGGTTTAGATTAGCAGCTTGGAATATTGAAATATTAATTTGTAAATTTTTGGAATTAGTAAATACTCTGATTAGAAGGAAAGTTACTATAACATGTTTACAAGAAACTAAGTAGGTAGGTGAAAAAGCAAAGGAAATAGAAAAAACTGTGCATAAAATTTACTATGCTAGAAAAGATGAGACATAGAAATGGTTTAAGAATAATTGTGGCTAACATCTTGATGGTAATGTGTTAGAATAGCATATTATTAATTGGGTTATTTATCCATTGTAATTATTCTATGCCTTGGTTCCTTGTAATTATTATTAATTTTCATTAATATAAAAGGGGGATGATATCACAATCATTCCCTAATCTTGGTATTCTCTAAAATTATCATGGTATCAGAGCCACAACCCTAAATCCATACACCACACAGCCACCACAAAGCCTCCACAGATATGCCACCGTCCTAGGTCAGTCGGCTACTGTCGAAGGGATTTTTGGCCTAGCTGCTAACTGCTGGCAGCCCTAGTCCCTTCTATCACCATCGTAGACAGGTCATTTGGCCTAGGTCGAACCCTTCGTCACTGCTGACAGGCCTTCTAGCCTAGGTCGAACCCTTCGTCATTGCCAACAGGCCTTTTGGCCTAAGTTGAACCCTTAGGCAGTCGGCGAGGCAAGACGACAGTGATCGAGGTCATCTCTGGATTCCTTTGACATTCCTCTGTTGTGCGTCTCTATGTTTGGTTGAACTGCTGTTGTCGTTGATTTTGTAATGAGGTAGTGACCTAAAAGTATTTGTTCCTGTTTTTTTTTTTTTAAATTTTTTTTTTTTTTTTTTGATGTGTTTAATTCGTTAATATTCTTAATGGTCATTGTGCTTACTATTCCTCCACCATCTTCCGAGTTTGTGATTGACACTGGTTTTGTTGAGGGTTTGGTAATACAGTATCCATGGTAGATTCCACTAGCATGTCCACTATTTCGCAGACATTTAGGAGTGAGAGTTCCATTCTACCTATTACTATGACTGATAACCCCAACCCTACTCTTAAAATCACCACCTCTCCATTTAATGGTCAGAATTATCTAGCGTGGTCGTAGAGTTTGACTATTTTTTTGAAGAGCAGAGGGAAGATGGGATATGTTGACGGCAAAATACAGGCACCCAACATCACTGACCCTGGTTATGACCAATGAGAGATTACCAAAACTTTGATTATGGGTTGACTTATTCATTTGATGGTACCAGACATTGGTGAGGGCTACCTGTCTATGGAGATTGCCCAGGATATTTGGGATGCTGTGACTTCCACCTATTCCTACAAAGGGAATTTCTCACAGGCATTTGAGATGCGCCGCTCTATTGAGAGCTTTGTTCAAGGGGAGCATACTGTTCTTCAGTATTTCACCTTCTTTATCAATGGCTGGAAATGCTTTGATCACCTATAGGACTATAAGCTTGTTTGCACTGCTGATTCAGTTGGGTACATGAAGTTCATTGTACAGGAAAGGGTTTTCAAGTTTTTGGCAAGTCTTAATGTGGAGTATAATCCTGTTTGGAGTTGGGTTCTGGGTATGGACACTCTTCCTTCACTTTCGGAGGCATTTGGCTATGTACAAAATAGGTAGCCAACTATAAACGACTAAATGAAAATTTAGAATTTGATGGATATTTTATTCCAAGAAAAGATGTTTTGATTAACTTAACCAAAGGATCAACAATCTTTAGCAAATTCGATTGTAAGAGTGGATTCTGGCAAATTCAATTGACTGAAGAGTCAAAAAAATTGACAATTTTCAATATACCTAGAGGACATTACCACTGAAATGTTATGCCTTCTAGTTTAAATATAGCACCACAGGTATTTAACGGTGGATAGATACAATGTTTAAAGATCTTAAGAATTGTTGTGTAGTATATATTGATGATATACTTATCTTCTCTAAAACTTGAGAGGAGCATAAGAAACATCTAAAATTACTCTAGGACTATAAGCTTGTTTGCACTGCTGATTCAGTTGGGTACATGAAGTTCATTGTACAGGAAAGGGTTTTCAAGTTTTTGACAAGTCTTAATGTGGAGTATAATCCTGTGAAAAATTTCAAAAACATGGAATTGGTGTCACCCAAAAAGATTGAACTAGAAAAAGAATCAATTGAATTTTTGAGAATAATTATAGACCAGAAAGGCTTAAAATTACAAAAACATATTTTGTTTAAAGTATGAGATTTTTCTGATACTCTTGAAAATATAACACAATTACAGAGTTTATTAGGTATTTTAAATGATGGACGAAATTTCATCAAAAATCTTTCAAAAATAGAATTTCCTTGGTCAACCAAATTAAGAAAAAATGTTATGTTTGAATGGACATCAGATGATGTTGCTTTAATAAAACAAATTAAAGAAAATGTCAAAACTTTACCAAACGTTTATCTTCCTAAAACAGGTGATAAATTAATTTTAGAAACAGATGCCTCAAAGTTGTGTTTGGGATGTATGCTTTAAAGCAATACCAAGTAAATTATGGCATGATAAAGAGATACCTTTATTAGAAAATGGGATTAGACCAAGAAAAATTCTAGTACCCATAAAATTACAAAAAGAACAACTAATTTGTGGATATAATTTTGGAACATTTAAACCCAATGAATAGAAATATATTATTTTTGAAAAAGAATTACTTGCAATAATATTGGCAATAAAAAGTTTTCATATTTATTTAGCCCCAGAAAATTTTATTGTACGTACTGATAATAAGGCCGTAAGAGATTTCTTGATCAATAAAAAACCTATTGAGCAAGGAAGAAGATTAGCCTGGTATAATAAAATTTATGAATATACTTTTGAAGTAGAACATTTTACAGGTACTAACAATTTTCTTGCAGATTTTCTTAGTAGGAATTGTTTTAGAAAATTAAATTACTAAATAAGTAATTTTAATTTTTTGCAGAAGACCTCTAGACCAAGAGGAAAAAATGAGCAAGGGTAAACAACCCGGACAAGAAAAAGTTTATGTTGTGTTTGCAGGAAGACATCCTGAAATTTACATAGAATGAAATGATTGCAATAAGCAACTTCGCGCATTTCCAGAGCAAGTGATAAAGCCTATGATAGCATGACCAAAGCTAAAAAAGCTTTTTACAGTGCACCAGTGATGCTTGTTTATCAAAATAATTTGTCAAATGAGAACTAATCCAGTTCCAACTAATATTCAGACATCTAAACTAGATGAATCTGAAATAAAAGATTTTTTCAACCTTGGTCTATCCAGAGAAATTTATACAGAACTCAATGGAGTTTGGAAAACTCACATTGTAAACAACAAAGTGAAATTTCAAAAACATATGGGAGTTTTGGCCAACAAATTAGCTGAGCAAATAGCTAAGTAAAAAGATTTACAAAACCTTTGTTTCAATATCCTTAAACAAATGAATTGGAATTAAGATTTTAATTTCGAAAAAATCAACGACTGTGTTTGGAAAGGTGTTCCAAACACATTTCCACCCACTAATTTGAGTGTGGTGTTTGTTTTGAGTTTTTAAATTATAATTCCACTCACTTTTGAAAACTCTTTTCCAGGTGGGAAAATTTGGCTAACCCAGTCGTCCTCTCGGACGTCCCTCCAGACATCCGGCCGGTTGACTGGAACAGTGTTGGTTTTTTTTTTTGGCACCTGTTATTTTTATATTGTAAATAAAAAATATTTTCGGAATTTTTTTAATTTTTATATGAGCTTTTGAATAGAATTTTGGGTTGTGTGTTTGGTTATGAGTTGTAAGTTTTTCAATCAAAAAACTTTCTGATTTCAAAAACTCAAAACTTCCTCCAAAACTCAATTCAAAACTCATAACCAAATAAATTTTCACACTCAAATCATAATTTCATAACTCACAAACTCAAAATACAATTCTATTCTCAAATCATATTTAGAAAACTTTACCAAACGCTACCAACAATTTTTTTCAGCTATCAGATCTCATATTAAATGAGTTTTCTAATCTAGT